GATAGAAAAAATGAAGAACGACTCCAGTAAGGATAAAAAAGAATAACGTTTCGACTCCAGAAAAGATAAGAAAAAAAATGAATAACGTTCCGACTCTAGTAAAGATAAAATAATAATAATAATAATAATAACGTTTCGACTCCATTCAGGACTGTTGAGGAAGGAAGGCAAACCACACGTTACGGTTAGAGAAATTTCAGCCTAAAAGGAGATCTCTGGGGCGGGTTTGGCGAAAGGCCTATTCTTTTCTTTGAGATTTCGAGTCTGATTTGCGCTGTTGCCACATCTCGAAGTTAATGCTGGTAATAGATGTAATGTGTAAATCGTTATAGACCCTATTTTGATAATCTATGGTAATGAAAAGGTAAGGTAAATATGACAGTCTATCTTACTGATATCACAACGGTAGCATTACACATTTATTATGTTTAAATGTGATGTGGCATACCTGCGTTTGTTGTCACTGCATCAGCCGTAAAGGATGATGCAGTGGCCTCGAAGCTTTTCTTCCCCTTTTCTCTATCTATTTTCCTCTCTTCCTCTTCCTCCCTCTCCATCCCGCTCTCCCTCTCCCTCTCCTCTCCCTCTCTCTCTTCCCCTCTCCTCTCCCTCTCCCTCCCTCCCCCCCTCCCGCAGTGTGGGGAACTCACCTGCGAGGGCCTGTAGTTGGCGGCGCCGGCGGCCTCGAGCGCCTTCGCCTTCGGGAAGTCGTACTCCTGCAGCACCTCCACCGCCGCCTCCACCGCCGCCGCCGCCGCCGCCGCCTGCTCGTCGTAGTCGCTGGCCTCGTACACGACGTTCATCCTGGCGTCGGCGTCGTGGCGAGTCGGGAACGACCGCGAGCGTGCGCGCGCGCCCGACGACGACAGCAGAGAAGAGGAGGCGGAGGACGACGAAGAGGCGGCCGAAGGAGGGGCGGCCGGCGACGGGGCCTTCGGGACGAAGTGGGACTCGAAGGAGGAGGCGAAGGGCAGTCCCTCGTACTCGGCGAAGGGCGAGGGCTGCACGCGGGCCGCCATCAGCAGCGACAGGAGCGCCAGGAGCAGCCTCGGGAGGGAACCGCAGCCATGGCGACCGCGAGAGAACATTCCTGAGGACACAACGGGGGCGTCAGGGGCTGCTCTCAGGGGGGGGGGGAGGGGGAGAGGGAAGGGTTGAGAGAGAGGGAAGGGAGAGGAGAAGGGCTAAGAGTGAGGAAGAGAAGGAAAAGGCTGATAGAGAGGAAAGGATCAAGGGAGAGGGGAAGGATTGAGAGAGAGGGAAGGGAGAGGAGAAGGGCTAAGAGTGAGGGAAGGGAGAAGGAAAAGGTTGATAGAGAGGAAAGGATCAAGGGAGAGGGAAGGGAGAGGAGCGGAGAGGGTTAAGAGAGAGGGGAGGGTTAGGAGAGAAGGAAGGGAGAGAGGGGGGGCCGATGGTAGGGTCACTTATTCCCGTGTGCGTGTGTGTGTGTGCTTCTATATTGACAGGGAAATTAGAGAAGTGTGGTTCTGCTCATGTGTATGTATGTAGAGGGAGAAGAGGTAAATAGACAGAAAGAGTTTGGGTAGATAGAAAGATAAGTAAATTTCATATATACACATAATGATACAAAGATATACATACGAATAAATAATATAAAATATGATATATAATATATATGATATAGTCCTTTCATCTCTGTCTCTCTCTCTTTCTTTCTCTCTCTCTCTCTCTCTCTCTCTCTCTCTCTCTCCTCCCTCTCTCTCTCTCTCTCTCTCTCTTCTTCTCTCTTTGTAAGTCTTCTCCCCCCCCCCCACCTCCCTCTTTTAAGACAATCACAGCGTCAGTACAAAGGTGACCAGAGGGGGGAGGGGTCATGGTGGGGAGGGGGGGGGAGGGGGTCGGCGTCAGTCAGACGAAACCAACAGTGCCCTCATCCTCCTCCCCCTTCCCCCCCCTGCCCCATCCCCCCGCCCCCCGCCCTCTCCGCCGTGGCACTCCAGCCAGGGTGCCAAAAGCAAGTGGGCGAGCGAGAAGAAGAAATTAGTGAGAGAGGAGGCAGGATTTTTTTTTTTTTTTTTTTTTTTTTTTTTTTTTTTTTTTTTACTTTTTGTTGTTATTTTGTGCGTGTGAGCGTTTGAGGTCTTTGTTTCCATTCTTTATTTTATTGTTTTGTGTGGCTCGAGGAGGACTTGAGTGGAGGTGGAGGGGAGAGAGAGGGAAGAGGAGGCGGAGGGAGGGGAGGAGAGGGGAGGAGAGGGGGAGAGAGGAGAGGCGGAGGGGAGGAAAGGGAAGAGGAGGAGGGGCAGAGAGAGGGTGGTAGGGGGAAGGATTAAGAGAAAGAGAGAAGGAAGAGGGGAGAAGAAAGTGGGGGAGAGAGTAGAGAAGGAGAGGAAGAAGGGAAGGAGGGAGAAAGGAAGTTAAAAGTGTGTCATTTAACGCTGAAAAGGCGACATGGGAACAGCGGAGATGTAAAAGGACATGATAATGACGATTTCTTTAAGAACTGATATGAATGAAAAACGGAAAATCTAAAATCCATATTCAGCGCACATCATTTACATTTTGCTTTAAGAAAGGAGACATCCACGTGTATCCTCTTAGTTTAAATTTCTATTGTTATTCTTCCAATTTATCTTCATACATTAAGGTCTTCGATTTCTTTAATCGTCAAACAATAAAAGTAGTTACTTGATGGTGAAGATCCCCTCATACTTCCTCATACAATTCTATATTAGGATAATCGATTTGAATTCTAAAAAAGTAAAATAAAATAAAAATAAATTGGGGTGGAAAAAAGTTCTTATTAAGAAATGTTTATAAAAAAAAAAAAAATGCATTGTGAAAATCATCAGGCTCTCACCCAACCACGTAAAAAAAGAAAAAAAATAATAAATAAAATAAATAAAAATACTCGTGGAGTCCCATGGCCGCCGCCCGTTGGCCTCGTCGGCGGTCGCTTATTCTCCGGTGCCGCGAATGATGGCGGGCGTGCGATCAAAAGGCGAAAGCGAGGGAAAGAGTATTGGCGTGAGGGTGTGCGCATGTGTCATAAGCAAAGGAGAGACGGAGAGCCTCGTCCACACAGTAATCTTGAGAAAAAGGGAAGGAATTACGTTGCTTCTATAAATAAGCCGTGGCCCGGGCCGCTCTGCATGCCGGGCCAAAGGCAACCCTCCATTCCCGCCGCAATTGAGCGCAGCGAATGGAGTTAACACAATTCTTTACGACCCCGACCACGGCCTTATTTTCACGCTGCAGTCCGCGCGAGGAACCGCCAATTAACCTGCTTCGTGGAAACACAGAAACCTTTTTTCTTCTTTCTGCTTCAACAGGCGGTTAATTGTCGGAGAAGAAGGAAGGGGCGGGGCTTCGCGGGACGCCCGGACGCGCCTAATTTATAACACGCGCTCCTTCGCGGGTAATTTCGGGGCCGCGGAGGAGGGGCCTTCGGGCCCTCGGCGTGCTCGCGCGCCTTTGATGGCGGGGGCGGGTGCTTCTGCCACGCACGCTCGCACCCACGCGCGTGCCTGCGTGTGCGTACTATATATATATTATATATATATATATATATATATATATATATATATATATATACGATATATATATATATATATATATACATATATATATATATATATATATATATATATTATATATATATATATATATATATACATATATATATATATATATATAATATATACATATAATATACACACACACACACACTCAGGTAGGCTCTTTAACGAGGTCCTCGTGTGCGTCAGGATAAACACACTCTGCAGTATATTCCTCCCATTAATTTCCATTTCCCCCTCGCCGGCGTGCGTGGGGGGAGGGGGGGGGGGCGCGCACTAAGGAGGCCATCATGATGAAGAAGGGAAATCACAGGGCTCCCCCCTCCCCCTTCCCCCCTTCCTCCCAAAATAAGGAGCGGTACCCCCTCCTCCCCCCCTCCCCCCTACGCTGCGGGGGAATCGCAGAAGGAGGGAAGGGCAGGAGGAGGGGGAGGGGGAGGGAGGGGACGGCGCCCCCCTCCCTGCCCCCTCAAGGCCGGGGAAGATAATGGCCCGGGTGCCGCCCCGCCCCTGGCACCGGCGGCACCCGGGCGGAGTGGCACCTGCGATTTAATTACCGCCGCCGCAAAGACGCGCCATAATTCCTGCTTAATTTTCCAGATGATCGCGTCGAGGGCTTGGCGCCGCCCTCGGGGCTCGCGCGCGCGCGCGCTCCTGGGGATTTCTCTCGTTCTTTTTTTTTTCGTATGATCTAGGTTATTCTTGAAGACTGATACTTGAAGTATTGATTTATTATTTTTATGATCTGGGTTACTCTCTTGAAGATTTTCTTTATTGTATTTATTTATTATTTTTATGATCTGGGTTAATATGATTAAATGTGAGAAAATTTCTTGATTTTTTTTTTTTTTTTTTTTTGTATGATTTGGGTTAATGTAATTAAATGAGATAATTTTTTTTGGTGATTTTTTCCATAAATAGGATAATATAAAAAGTAAATCTACCTAACGAATATACATGAGCGATGCATCCCACTAAATATCCCTTTAATTTTGAGTGAATTATAGATAAATAATAATGATCAAAGAAAGACAATAAGAAGGAAAAGATAATGTTTAGCCATTACATGCAGTTCATGAAATCATATGAAAATATTTGATTCCTCTACGTTTAACATCGCTTACGTGATATGAAACTCGGGTATATGGGAAACGAATATCCGAAATAAGCCCCGACATAAGAAAAACCCTTTGTTGCGTGCGGATGTTGCTGATATTCGCGGATAAAATTGGCGGGTCAGCGGCATGCATCTGGGCTTAGCAACGACAACCCAAGTCTTTTGTTGTCAAAAGCAATGATTTCTCTTTTGAATTCCATAATTTCCGTTGGATTAGATTAATTCAACGGTCAAAGTAACATATTACCATCCAGGATTATGTACATACGGACAAAAAGAAGAGTAACGTAACAAAATAGAAGGATCCGAGTCGGCAGCGCGGGCAGCGTGTGAACGGCTGTTGACAAGCGAGCGTCGGAAACAAACGAGCGACGGGATGCGCAACGTCAGGCGATTGGCGCGCTTGTTGGACAATACGACCTGGTAGCCATCACACTTGGAGGTCTGTCGGTGTGCTGCTGTCAGCCCCGGAGTCAGGATGCCTGCTGACGCTTCCTTCTTTCCTCTCTTCCCCTGCTGACGCCCTTGCAACCGAGTCAGGCTTATCCTATGCTGTCCTTTCCTTCATTTTTCCCCTTATTTTATTCTATTAGACTTTTCTTGTGTCCTTTTCTCTCTCTTAAGTCATTCAACGCCCTTTTGCCTCCAGGTTTTCTTCCTAAGCCTATAAAATTTCCCGTAGGCCTAGTATCCTTAAAAGTCTATAAGGACCTTTTACAAGAATCCCATTAACATTATGCAAACAATATTAAGCTTTTACAACGGGAGATGGCACTCCCAGTCAATCATCTAGCTAATTATCTATCTATGTATCTACCGAACTCTCTCTCTCTCTCTCTCTCTCTCTCTCTCTCTCTCTCTCTCTCTCTCTCTCTCTCTCTCTCTCTCTCTCTCTCTCTCTCTCTCTCTCTCCCTCCCTCCCTCTCTCTCCCTCCCTCCCCTCCCTCCCTCCCTCCCTCCCTCCCCATCCCTCCTCCCTCCCATCCCCCCCGCCATCCCTTCTCTCTCTCTTTATTTACATATATATGTGTGTGTTTATGCATTTACGTATACATATACATATACTTATTTAGCTGCGCTCGAAACCCATTTAGGAATTGGCTCCTCCCGCCGGGCCTCGCAGCCTGTCCCTCCGGCGGCAAAAGTGATGGCATTAGCATCCCCGTCTTTGAAATTTTGGCGCCATTAATAACGGGCGAAGCGATCGAGCAGTGCGACGCCTTTTCATCTCGCTTTTTAGTTTTGGAAAAGAAAGAAGGGGAGGGCGGGGGTGAGGGGAAGGGGGTGATGATGATAAGGGGGGAAAAAATGACTTTATTCGAATGGGTGTCGCTCTTTTATCCCGGGCGAGTGACGTCACCGAAGACACAAAAGAGGGGCTACAGACCTATCGGCAATGAGGTCTATTTTCGTCAAGGAAAAATATCGGATTTCCCGCTCTAAATAGGCTTTTAATGGTGCTCCCAAATTCCCTGTGAAGTTCCGGTACCTGCGCGCGGTATTAATATTACCCTCCCCTCCCCCCCCTTCCCGCCTACCCCCGTTTTCGGTGCGTATCCCCACCCTTTGGTCCTCGCCTACCCCCCCCCCCCCCCCGCCCCAACACTCCCTTACCTTGTTAAAAATAATACGATTGACCCTCCCCCTCCCCCCCTCCCCTCCCCTTCCCCTGTCTCTTAATCGCCACGGGGGAGGAGGGGGGAGGGGAGGGAGAGGAGGAGAATGACAAGGAAAGCGGGAGAAAGGGAGAAAGATGGGAAGGACAATGACAGAGGAGAGAGAGAGAGAGAGAGAGACGGAAAGGACAGAGAAAAGAAAGGAGAAGAGGGACGAGAAGAAAACCCGCGAGAAAGAAAGAGGAGGGAGAGAAGAGGAGGCGAGGCGAGACGAGACGAGGGGAGCGAAGGCAAGGCGAGAGAGAATAGGCAAGGCGAGAGGAGACGAGCCAAGGGGTGGCAAGGAGGCAAAGGAGGCGAGAGGAGGCGAGAGGAGGCGAGGGAAGCGAGGAGGATGCGAGGGGAGCGAGAGGAGGAGGCAAGGGAGAGGAGGCGGGGAGGGAAGGCAAAGCGGGTAAGGGGAGCTGAGGGGAGGGAGAGGTGAGGGAGAGGAAGGAGAGGGGAGGCCGAGGGAAAGGAGGTAAGGGAGGCGAGAGGAGGCGAGGGTGAGGGCAGAGGGAGTTAGCACAGAGAGGTTGTAGGAACTTTAAGTCTAATGGCAGTAATGACTTTTAATTGGAAAAGGGGAAGTTTTTTTCCTCCGCTTGTCTCTCCCTCCTTTTAAACCCCTGGAATGAAACTGCTGTTTTTGTCCCTTTGTTTTTGTTGTTTTTGTTCGAAATTGACTCCTTAATGAAGAATTTAGGGTGAGAACATTATTGTGAGATATGATAGAATTTTTGAGAATTTTTTTTTTTTTTTTTTTTTTGGGGGGGGGTGTCGGAAAAAAAAAAAAAAATGAAAATGGGAGGAGATGGATAGGGGGAAAGGAAGGGAGGAATTACGGAGAGGAGAAGAAAAAGGAAATGATCAATTGATGCAAGGAGAGAAAGAGAATTAGAAGACACGCGAAAGGAGATAAAAAAGGTAAAAAGGACACAGTCAAGGAAATGAAAAAAAAACGACAACAAAAAACGAAGAATATAGAAAGAAAAAGAAAGAGAGAAAAAAGAACGTAATATAAAAAACAAAAAGAGAAAAAGCCGAGAAAATTAATTTAAAAAAAGGAGACGAAACCAAGAAAAAAAAAACGATTCTAACAAAAAAAGAAGAAAAAAAGACGAGAAGGAGAAAAAGATCAAGAGAAGAAGAAGAAGGGAACGAAGAGAGGAACAGAAGGAAAAGCAGAGAGAGAGACGAGAGCCGAAGAGGAAGGGACAAAATGCTGTGTGATCTGTTACTACGTGAAAAGCCCATTCAGGGTTCGAGCCATGCCTTCCGGGTTGGGGACGTGTGCGTGTGTGTGTGTGTGTGTCTGGTGTGTGTGTGTGTGTGTTGTGTGCGTGTGTGTGTGTGATGTGTGTGTGCGTGTGTGCGTAGTGTGGTGTGGGTTTGTTTGTGTGTGTGTGTGTGTGTGTGTGTGTGTGTGTTGTTTGCGTGTGTGTGCGTGTGTGTGTGTGTGTGTATGCTGTGGTGCCGTGTGTTGTGTGTGTTGTGTGTGTGTGTGTGTGTGTGTGTGTGTGTGTGTGTGTTGTGTGTGTGTGTGTGTGTGTGTGTGTGTGGTGTGTGTATGTCTGTGTGTGTGTGTGTGAATGTAGGTTTTATTTGTTTGTGTGTGTGAATGTGTGTATGTCTGTGTGCGTGTGTGTGAATGTAGGTTTGTGGGTTTGTTTGTGTATGTGAATGTGTGTGTGTGTTTGTTTGTGTGTGTGTGAATGTGTGTGTGTTTGTTTGTGTGTGTGAATGTGTGTGTGTGTTTGTTTTGTGTGTGTGAATGTTTGTGTGTGTGTTTTTGTTTTGTGTGTAGTGTTTGTTTTTTTGTGTGTGAATGTGTGTGTGTTGTTTGTGTGTGTGTATGTGAAATGTATGTGCGTTTGCTTTGTATTTGTGTGAGTGTATGTTTGTGTATAATGAATGTTTCATGTGTGTTGTGTGTGTTTGTCGCTAAGTGCGTCTGTGTGTGTGAGTGTGTATGTTTGTGTGAGTGGTGTGTTGTATGTTCTGTATGTGTGTTGGTGTATGTGTATGTTGGGTATGGGTGTAGGGGTCGTGTGTCGTGTGTGGCTTGTGTGTGTGTGTGTGTGTGTGTTTGTCTGTGTATCTGTGTTGAACAAGAAAAAAATAGAAGACATTTAACAGAAGATCCCCGTACATAATCAAACGACAAACCAAACCCAAAAAACACCAAAAAAATAAAAAAAAACGACCATTTACTACAACTGAAATACAACCAAAGCCTCGAAGACGTTAAACAATCAGCTGAGAATTGTTGACGAGGAGCCTTCCTTAAAGTGAGAGGTCAAACTCCATACTATTTGCCTGACCTCGGCGACCTTTGACCCACTACCTCTGCGCGTCCCGCTCCTTTCCCACGAAACAAAATGTAACTGCGTATCTATATGTGATTGTGTGTGTGTGGGTGGGTGTGAATGTATGTGTGTGATTGTGTGGGGGTGGGTGTATGCGTTGTGTTGATTGTGTGTGTGTGTTGGTGTGTGTGTGGGTGTGATGTATGTGTGTGATTGTGTGGGTGGGTGGGTTAGTGTATGCTGTGTGTGTTGTGTGTGGGTATGTGTGTGTGTGGATGTGTATGATGTGTGTGTGCTGTGTATGTGTGTGTGCGTGTGAAATTATGTGGGTGGGTGGGTTGGTGTATACGTGTATGAATGTGTGTGTAGAGAGGTTTGTGTATGTGCGGGTGTGATTGTGTAAGTGGGTGGCTGTATGTGTGTGTAGGTGGGAGTGTGTATATGCGTGTGTATTTGTGTATGCGTGTGTGATTGTGTGTGTGTGTGTATGTGTGAGTGGGTGGGTGTATGCGTGTGTGATTATGTATGTGTGAGTGGGTATGTGTATGTGTGTGTGTGTGTGTCTGTATATGATTGTGTATGTGCGTGTGTGAATGTGTTCGTGGATGGATGAAGGTATGCGACAGTATATAGCGCAGACGTAGTACACACGCGCTGTCCATTCTCGCAAGTAAAGGTATTCTTAAATGTATCCATATTTCTCGTATTCTTAAATGTATCCATATTTCTCGTATTCTTAAATGTATCCATATTTCTCGTATTCTTAAATGTATCCATATTTCTCGTATTCTTAAATGTATCCATATTTCTCGTCCGCCAAGAAGCGTTCGAGGTCCAGGCGATCTGAGCTGAAGGTCCGGAGGTCTGAGTGAGATCTCAAAGGAAAACTTTCCGACGAACTCACGGTATCCCGAGTCCGAGGAGAGTGAGAGCGAGAGAGAGAGGGGACGAAAGTGGAGTGAGGATAGAGTGAGGAGAGTGTAAGAAGCGAGTGAGGAGAGAAGAGAGGGACTAGTGAGGATAGAGTGAGGAGTGAAGCGAGAGCCGAGTGGAGATGCGAGTGAGTGGACGAGCGAGTGACGAGAGAGAGAGTGAGGGACAGCGAGTGAGAGACGGGTGGATAGAAGAGTGTAGAGAGGCGAGTGAGACGAGTGAAGAGGCGACGACGAGTGAGAAGAGGAGACGCGAGTGAGGAGAGAGTAAGGAGCGAGAGAAGGGCGAGTGAGGAGTGAGTGAAGGACGAGTGAGGAAGGAGGAAGGAGAGTGAGAAGGAATTAGGAGCGAGCGGAGGGGCGAGTGAAGGGAATGCTGAGGATTCAAATACTGTCTAAATGTCAGATGAGGGTCAGATCGCGCTGCTCGAGAAGTTAATGAACGTAA